ATAGATAGCCTTGAGTGTGTCCTTGTTGCACCAGTAGGCCTTGTCCAAGTCCCCATATTCCAGGAGATATACCTATTGAAGTTTAAAATGATCTCCATAATCCTTTGTTGGCTTGAGGCTCTCCCCTGAGGAAGTCCAGGAACTCCTGGTGCCGCCTGGGCCGATGGATTGGACGCCCCAGCCCCTCCGTTCCTGCCCAGCCCCTGGGTCCGTGTCGAGTGGTGGCACTGCCAGCCCCTGCAGGTGAAGTGGGAAGGGCCTTTCCAGGTCCTGTGGGTCACATTTATAGTAGCCAAAGTTGCAGAAAAAGGATGTTGAGTCTCTTCTTCTTGAGTTCAGAAAGCTCCTTTTGGTTGGTGAGCAGAACAAAGTGGATCCTTCAGAGTTCCCATCCGTGTTTGTGTCTCAGCCTGTGTTATGATTCAGGGCTGTAGCTGTTGTTGTCACTGAGGAGTCAAACTCTGCTTTAAATCATGAGACACTGGCCTAATGGCCAAGTGTCAGGAAAAAAGTGGGAATGATACCTGAGTGTTGAGATGTAACAAGAGGTAATCCTTTTTGCAGTGGGATGTAGCCTGGAAACTGCACAGAGCTGAGCCAAGGGATTTAAAGAGACCAACCAAGGGAGGTGAAGAAAGAAGGAAGGAGGGAAGTGAGGCAGTAGACAAGCACCACTAAGTTACACTGGAAACAGGTGAGTTCTCTTGAAATTCCTAAGGCAGGCACTGAGGACTTTGAGGGCTCCAGACAGAGCAGACCTGCGAAGGCCCTCGGTGAAGCCCCTTGGAAACCTTCTAAGGGTAGGTGTGTATGGTAATGAGTGTTGGAAAATGTCCTGAGTAGGGATTAGGAATGCAGGGAAGGAAAATGAACCCTCCTGTAATGCAGCCATATCAGCTGCAGTGGAGATAGCTGTGTGTGCCCTTTGGGAGCTGATTGCCAGGACACCTGGTGGGCTGGAATGATTCAAGAGCATAGGAATAAAAGATTGCCTGGCTTCTAAAACTCATCAGCTGAGTCTCAGAGGTTCTTGTAAGAAATTTTAGGTAACACCTGAACTTTTGTGTGTAGTTCTGAGCTCCGTTGGAAAGAGATTGTCCAGGGAAGAGGAATCTTGCTCAGTGCAAGAAGTTACCCTTCCTATCTGAGCTGATGCCCTTGGCAGGAGAAGTGCTCAGCAAGGAGGCTCTTTGCTCCTAGGCAGGAAGAAAGGCCAGTGCCCTTCCTCCCCAAGGCCCAGCCCAGCAGGGCTGGCAGGAGCTGCTGGTGTGGCTGCTCTTTGGGTTCTCAGCTGTGGCTGTGGGGTGGTGACCTCGTGTTCCTCCCTGTGCTCCAGGGCAGCCCAAAGCCCCAGCCCAGCCCCTGGGCCTTTCTGGGAGCCTGAGCTATTGTAGTACTGGGGATGGGGGTTTGGGTTTTTGTTTCCCTAAAAGTAGAACCATTGGGGGGGATCTCTTATCTCACAGTTGTTGTTTTGATATCTGAATTAATTACAACTTGAGAAGAAAACCTTGTGTAACTTAGCAACTGACTTGCACTGGTTCCACTGAAAGTGCCAAGGAGTTGTAGTGTCCACTGGATTGTTTGTATTGAAGCAGTTTGGTGTTTACAGAGGGATAATAACTCCTGTCAGCAGCAAGGTCCTGACTGAAGTGGCAGCTGCAGTTGTTCCTGTGGTGTGGGCCAGTGGAATTCCATGAAAATGGACAAGGACAGAACCTGTAAGAATTACCCCTAAGCCAGAGTCTCTCCTGGTAAGGCAAAGCAAGTATCCTTTAAAATTAGGAAGCCAAGCTGGATTGGTTCTAGTAAGAGCTAAATTTGCTGCTGATGGTTTGATAGTAGAATGTGAATGCAAGGAGCTGTAAAGAAAGGAAATGGGCAAGATGATTGATTGCTGGGAGCAGGGGCTGGCAGGCAGTGGCACTGGCTGTTTGGTTGTGGTTGGGAATGAGCAGCTTGACCTGCCCAGGGTTGTCTGTGCTGGGGGTGGGTTTGGGTCCTGTGTGGCCACAGGTCTGTGCAGCAGCTGGAGCCTGGGCAGGTTTGGGGGCTGTGGTGTGCCAGGCTGCTGAGTGTGTTGTCCCTGTTTGCTTGGAGTGTCCCAGTGTCCCTGCTTGGCTGTTTGTTGCCCTGCAGGCAGAAGAGCCCAGGCCTGAGATGGCTGAGTGTTGGTGTGACCCAGAGTGGGTGTCCCTGCCCTGGGGAGAGTCCCCAGAGCTGCCTTTGGCATCCCCTGCTGAAGGGTGGGAGCTGCCCAGAGCCAGCAGCATCCAGCTGGAGGATCCATGAGGATGCAGCTGTGTTTTCCTGGGAGGTAAGAGGTGGGGGTGCAGGAGCTGGCAGGAGTGTTTTGCAGGCAGAGGGAGGGCAGGAGCAGGAGACTTGCAGGTGCAGCAGCTGTGTCAGTGCTGGATGGAGTCGGGGCTGGGAAAGGGCCCTGAGTGTCAGGGCAGGGGAGAGCCCCGGGTGGCCCTGGGAGCCCTGGGGCTGTGAACAAGTGCAGTGGGCAAAGGAATGGGCACTGGAGAGCTGGGCAAACAGCTGGAGGAGTTGCAAGGAGAAGCAGGAGCCTGGGATCCAGGAGCAGCAGCAGCTCCCTGTGTGTGTGTGTGTGTGTAGAACCAGGTGTACTGCAGCCCCGAGTGAGGTGGGAAATGAACCTCAGGAGGCTGGGAACGAGTCCCACAAACTGGTTAAAGTGGGATGGACTCTTGCCAAGTGCCTGAAAAGCTTTTCTTCAGTGTTGCTTTATCAATTGAAAACTGGAGTGATTGTTGAGGTGTTGGCAGTTGTTTTCCTGTGTTTTTGGTGAGGTGTTGACTCAGTACCTTTCTTGGAGCTGCTGTTGGATGAAGAGGTGCCCCCAATTCACCTGTAAGGTCCTGGTTTTCTTCCTTGCTTCTCCCAGCTTGTCCAGGAGATGGAATTCCAGTGCTACAGTCTAGATGGGTCGTGGTGCTCCCAAAAGGAGCCTTTGTGCCTTCAGGACAAGTTTTGGTGCCACTGGAGCTGCTGGGAGAAGCATAAGGTTGGCAGTGAGAGGCCTGGAATGATGTTGCTGTGGCACAGAAGAAATGAGCAGTGATGGTACAATTGACTATTTTCTCTTGAATACAATGGTAAGAGCTCCAGGAATGCAAGGAGTGTGTTCCAGTCCCCAGCATTTGGTTTGCACATGTCCTGGTCAGACCCAGGTCCAACTTCCTCAGTCCTTAACACAAGAGAAGGAGAATTAAGGGCTGGCAGTGTTAAGGTGACTGGTGTGACAGGGGTTAAACTGGGAAAACATTGGGGAATTCCTCAGTTTGTCTCTTTGCCAAACTCACCCAAACCTGTGCTAGGAAGAGATTGAGTGGAAAAGTTGAGGCAGAAATGAAATGAAAAACTGGGGATGTTGAAACTGTAATTGCTGGAACTAAATGTGTCAAAGCAGCAGCTCTTGTTGTGCAGGGAATAACTCCTGTCAGCAGCAAGGTCCCGACTGAAGTGGCAGCTGCAGTTGTTCCTGTGGTGTGGGCCAGTGGAGTTGCAGGAGGGTGGAAGAGGGCAGAACCTGTAGGTATTACCCCTGATGTGGGATCTATATGGGTAAGGCAAAGCCAGTATCCTTTAAAATCAGAATGCCAGCTTGGATTGGTTGCAGTAACAGCTAAATTGGCTCATCCTGGTTTGCTTGTAGGACGTGAATGCGAGAACCTGCCAAGAAAAGCAATGGCCAAGATGATTGATGAGTGCAGGACCTGAGAGAACCACCTTGAATGACAATCTCGGAGTTTAGTATTGGATTTAAAAGATGGCCTTTGCTGCATCTCCTTGAGCAAGGAAAGCCAAGAAACCTTTGCTTTTGAAGGAGGAAAACTGGAAAGGGGAAAGGAAGAAGAGAAGCCACTTGACTCCTCCTGAGCCCCAGACAGCCCCTGAACTGCCTTCCTGGGAATGGTAGGATGGGGTGGACTCTGGATTGCTCCCTCTGGATGTGTGGTAAGACTGGTATGCCAGCTTTTCCAACAGCCTGTAAGCATTTGCTGCCTTGGCTAGATGGTGCAAGGGCAGCCTTTAAGCAGCTAAAGCATTCCCTGAGGAGAGCTCTGGGTCTGTCAGATCTCTCAGAACTGTTGGAAGCATCTTTACTGGGGAGGGCAAACAAAGGACAAGGTGTGCAGTGACCCCCCAACAAGGGACTTTGAGTTAATGGCATCCCTGCAAGTGAACTTTGTGGGCTGTTCATCCTGTAGGGCAGGTGATAGTCCCAGCTAGAGTGATGGGAAAAATGGGTAAAAGAGAGCCCCAAAAGCTGGAAATCGTCCTGGAGGCTCTTGGCCAAGAGAGTTTCCTGAGTTGCCCCTGCAAGAAGGATAGTGACAGCTTTTGAGTGCTAGTAGATGCTTTTAATAGATAGCCTTGAGTGTGTCCTTGTTGCACCAGTAGGCCTTGTCAAAGTCCCCATATTCCAGGAGATATACCTATTGAAGTTGAAAATGATGTCCATAATCCTTTGTTGGCTTGAGGCTCTCCCCTGAGGAACTGCAGGAACTCCTGGTGCCACCTGGGCCGATGGATTGGACGCCCCAGCCCCTCCGTTCCTGCCCAGCCCCTGGGTCCGTGTCGAGTGGTGGCACTGCCAGCCCTGCAGGTGAAGTGGGAAGGGCCTTTGCAGGTCTTGTGGGTCACATCTATAGCAGCTGAAGTTGCAGAAAAAGGACCTGGGGTCTATTACTCCTGGGTTAGGAAAGCTCCTTTTGATTGGTGAGCAGAACCAAGTGGATCCTTCAGAGTTCCCATCCGTGTTTGTGTCTCAGCCTGTGTTATGATTCAGGGCTGTAGCTGTTGTTGTCACTGAGGAGTCAAACTCTGCTTTAAATAATGAGACACTGGCCTAATGGCCAAGTGTCAAGAAAAAAGTGGGAATGATACCTGAGTGTTGAGATGTAACAAGAGGTAATCCTTTTTGCAGTGGGATGTAACCTGGAAACTGCACAGAGCTGAGCCAAGGGATTTAAAGGGACCAACCAAGGGAGGTGAAGAAAGAAGGAAGAAGGGAAGTGAGGCAGCAGCCAAGCAGCACCAAGTTCCTGTGTCAGCAGGTGAGTACTCTTGAAATTCCTAAGGCAGGCACTGAGGACTTTGAGGGCTCCAGACAGAGCAGACCTGCGAAGGCCCTCGGTGAAGCCCCTTGGAAACCTTCTAAGGGTAGGTGTGTATGGTAATGAGTGTTGGAAAGTATCCTGAATGTGGAGCAGGAATGCAGGGAAGGAAAATGAACCTTCATGTAATGCTGACCCCTCCCATCAGCTGCAGTGGAGATACCTGTGTGTGCCCTTTGGGAGCTGATTGCCAGGACACCCGGTGGGCTGGGATCATGGCAGGGTGTTGTAAGCAAGGAATGCCTGGCTTCTAAAACTCACCAGCTGAATCTTAGTGGCTTCTTGGAAGAGCTGAGTTCAGGCAGCAGAATTGGCCCTGCAGGAGGGACTCTGTGCCTGCTCTCCCGTGGCTCCAAGGGGTCTCTGGCCCTTCACGCCGGCACCGAGATTTTCTCGGGAAGGGCCTCAGATCCCCGGACCAGTCTGGGACACAGGCAAGATCCCCCTGCAGTTTAGGACCAAATTGGCCCCCTGTAGGGACAGTGCTGTGGGTGCCCCCCGGGTTGGGGCACCCCGAGGACTCCAGCGCGCACCGAAAGGATTATTCGGGGAGATCCTCGGGGTGCCCCAACCTGGGGAGTTCAAAGCAAGGTCCCTGCACTGGATTCAGGCATTGCTGAGAGTATCCCAGGTGTAGCTGTCTGTGCTAGACATGGAGCTCTCTAATGGGCTGTAATTGGGTTCTAAAAGTGGTGCTCCAAGTGCAAAGGAAGTGTGGGATTGGGATTAAGAAACGAGCAGTGATGGTCCAATTGGCTGTTTTCTCTGGAATGCAATGGTAAGAGCTGCAGGAGTGCAAGGTGTGTGTTCCAGTCCCCAACATTTGGTTTGCACATGTCCTGGTCAGACCCAGGTCCAACTTCCTCAGTCCTTAACCCAATCGAGGGAGAATTAAGGACTGGCAGTGTTAAGGTGTGTAGGGAATTGGCTATGGAACAGGGCTTGCCTAGGCCGTGAGAATATCTGAGATAGCAGAGCTACAGTGTCCTTGTGCCTGCTAGAGCTACAGTGTCCTTGTGCCTGCTAGTTGGCTGGTAAACAGGTCGTTGTGATTAGCAAAACAAAAAGCAAGGGACAATAAACGAGTATCCTGCTGAGTTTTGCACGGAACCCGCGGTCCCCGAAGCTTGAACAGGGGCTAAGTTAAATCTGCAGCCACAAGGGCTAAGTTGAATCTGCGGCCCAAGGGACTAAGTTGAATCTGCGGTCCCCGGAACCTGAACAGGGAGTAAGTTAAATCTGCATCCCCCGAAGCCAAGGTCTAACGCAGTAGCCGGTCGGTCTTGGAGCAGCACAAGAGGCGAAAGAGCTGGACTCCGCGCCCCAGGTGACCTTACAGGAGGGTCCTGGCCGACAACACCGCCTACCCCTTGTAAAGGGCTGCAAAGCGCACTGAAGATTTATAGGTATGGAAAGACAAGCGGTGCTTTTATTACTCCAGTGCTTTTTAGAAAAGCGGGGACTTAAGGGTATAGATTTGAAAAAAGAATTACCAAGATTGCTTACGACGGGGGTTGCTAAAAGTTGTCTTGTGGACCCTAATACAGTTTTTGATGAAAGAGAGTGGAGACGTTATGAGGTTAAGTTGTGGGAGGTTGCCGCGGAGACGGAGCTCGGTGTAACATGAGAGAAGTGGAGAAGCTGCCAGGCCAGCCAGACAAGACACCTGGACAGGTGAGCCACCGAGAACAAGAGGGATCTAATGTTGCATCTATGTGGAAGTCTATCCTGCTTAAAAAAGGGAGAAAAATTAGACGAACTGGCTTTGCGGCAGATGCTGCTTTCATGTAAGGGCCAGGGATATGAAGCGAACACTGTAACTGCCTTTACTATCTCTACTTGGGAAGAACTTAGTGATAAGCTCTTTACTGCTGCCTTTAAGGGAGAAAAAGTTGCTGCTTCCCTCCTTACAACTTGGCGATTGTTATCTGGAAGAGTAAAAGGCATTAAAACACAGTCTGAGGACATTAGAATGCTACTAGATACCATCATACGGAGAAATCGTGTAAAAAGGGAGTCGAGCGGAGTTGAAGGGAGCCGGAGCGGGACCACGGATCACGGAGCGGGGCCGGGGACAACCGAGCGGCCCCGCCAACATGAACGCGGTGCCAGCATCTCGGCAGTGCATATCCAGGACGATCGGAGACGACGGCTGCAGTGGGAAAGTACTGCTGATAGAGCAGGGATGAACTTTACGAACACTATGACTGAGTTCCACCTTAAGACATTTCCAGCTTTTCATCTGAACGGTGCTGCGGGCCTGCGCTGCACATTTGTGGCTGTGTTCACGGCGCTGGGTGCTTGCGCCGCCGTGCTGAGTGAATACGGGGCGGCGCCGGGCAGCGGGGCAGTGGCGGTGGTCGCGCCGCCTGCGTGGCCCCGGCTCGGAGCGCTCCCGGCTGGCACAGAGCCGGGGGACGGTGGAATCGCTCGGAGCGGTGCTCGGCCCCGGCTCGGAGCGGTGCGCCCGTGTGCGTGCACGCCGGCGGCCCCGGGCGCGGCGGGCGGCGGGGGGGCTCTGTTTTCCCCGCACTGCTGACAGCCGTGGGCCCGGGGGTGTGCGTTCCCCTTCCCTTCTTTGCAGCGAGTGTTTTCTCCCTGGTGCCGCTCCTCTTCTGAGAGCGGCGAGTTAATGACGGTAGCAAAAGCTTCAGAGGGTGCAGCTGGGGGAGAGGGAAAGCTGTTTCTCCTTTACCCGTTACACCAATCACCCCTTCTCTGAAACGTGCCTGTTTGCAGCTGTTCTCTCCCTCTCCTACGTTTTTGTCTCTTTTTAAGCAGACCCTGTGATTAAGTTCCTTCTGCTGATCTCTCTGGGTGAGCCCAGCCCCTCCTTCCCCTCCTTCGTCCTTCGGCAATGAGGAGCGTGGGGGAGGCAAAGACGGTAAAACACGGAAAAAAGGGAAAAGAGAAAAAACAACTTAAAATTAACAATATCCCAACTTATAAATCAAATAAGATTGCCTTGTTTTTACAGCAATAGGTGTTAAGCATGCAGTGTGCTCATGGCATTCTCAAACGTGTTCTTCAAAACAGGGAGACTGACGAAAAATCCTTTGAAGTAAGATTAGAAGTAACAGAACATCCGTGCTTAGCTTTTTGCATATTACAGAAGGTTATTAAGAACTTCCTATAGTTTGCCATTTCGCATCTCTTACATGAAATTTGGCTGTTTCCCCCTGGGGCAGGGTGCAGGTAGAAGATTTGGAGACTGAATGATGAGACAGAAGGGGATATAGTCTTGCCCCCTGCAAAAGTAGTTTTATTGCCTTTATGATAAAATATCGTTGCTCTATGAGAAGAGTTGAAGATTTCCAAGATAATATTCTGTTCTTTCTTGCTGTATTTGTCTTTTACATGGAGAGTTATGCAGGATTTGCAGATTGCTGATGGCAGCTATGCCATAAATTTCCTTTGAATTATGAAACTGATAAGAAGTGCCCAGCCAATGACTACTTGAAAATGTGTGTGTGATTGAGGAGAATGTCTGAGGTGGCCACCTGAATGTTGTGTGAAAGAAAAAAGCTACATGAATGTGTGACTGTGTAAACTTAAAAATACTTTCTGCCGGTGTCAAGATTTTACAGATGTGTAACACGATTCTGTTGAACCATAGTGAATCCTTATCCTGAATATGAATTCTTCAAATTCCCACCATGAGTGGTGAGGTTTTGGTTATCTCAAGACTAGCCCTGTCCAGCTAGCTGTTTGATCTGAACTGAGGTTAAATAAGAGGTTCTTACATAAATTTGGTGTTCTATTTCTGCCTTGTTTCAGAAATTTATGGAAGTTAAATCTCAGGTAGAGTTTTTCTGCTGCTGTTGTTCCTTAGCTGTGCGAGCTGCGCAGGAGACCACTAGTTTTAGAGCGAGTAAAAACCATAAGCCAGCAAACATTGGTGCAGACTGCAAGGTTGGCAGAGCCCGAGGCAGGGTGCACCACTGTGCTTCCAGGTGCCCGGGAACCATTCTCACAATTCGTGGAAAAGCTGCGAGACGCTGTAGAGAAACAAGTTTTGTGACAGTTACAGAAGTTGCTAGTTACATAACTAGCTAGAGATAATGCAGGCTTGTGCCGGGGTGAGGTCCTTAAACCATCAAATAACTGCATTTGCATCTGCTATGGCAGTAGTGAGAGTCATTTTGAGCTTTTCTGTGTTTTCCAAGATTTAAATCGGGAGTTGCTTTAAAGAGTCCTTATATATTGTCTTCAAAACCCCTCCCGTGCAACAGCTGGTAGCACTATTCGTTGTAAAACGGCTAGTCTCTGCTCCTTAAAACATGCCCTACCCATTGCAACTGTGTTCTCAGCAAAATAGCCTCACTAATTGTGATTACTCCTTGTTTCATACCAGAGGTATTGCTTGCATACTTTGACTAGTGAATGTTTAGGGTTGTAGGAAGGCAACCTGTATTCTTTGTGATGCTCAAAGCTTGCTGTTAATTGTCCAAACAAAGAAACAAACTTCTGTAGTCATTCCAAGAGTTAGGGTTGTGATACTAGGAGGTACTGCTCGGAGTTTTCTTTCAGAACATACAGATCCTGCGTGACCTAAACAATGGCTCCTACCTACAGAACAGCTGTTGGCCCTGCAACAGCTTGTCAAAAGGCAGCTTGATGCTGATTACGTTTAACCATCTCAGAATCCTTTAATTACCCCTGTGTTTGTGATAAAGAAAAAATGTGTGAAATGAAAACCTTTGCATGATCTCAGACGGGTTGGTACAGTCATGGTTAGTAAGCATTGGCTTACTGACCCCTTCTGTGCTTGCTGCTGAATAACCCATTGTTATTATTGATTTGACAAGTTATCTTCTCACAATCCAGTTCGATCCCAGTGATAGAGAAAAAATGTACATTTTTAGTTTCATCTATTATTCGTGCAGAACTTTATGAGTGTTATCCATAGAAAACCCTCTCCCATAGAATGAAAGGCTTTTCTATAATTTGTCAGTGGTTTATGTTTCCAATGCAATTTTCTGACTGTCTTTGTTGTCATTATATAGATGACATTTCTGCTGGCTGTAGCCACTGAGGATCAGCTAGGTGTGTTTGCTGAAACCAGAAATGGTCTACAATTCTTTGGCCTAGTAGTTACTTCTGACACGGTGCAGTGAAAAGTACCCTGGAAATATTTAGAGTTCATGTACACAAAAAGCAGTCATTTCTCAACCAGTTTAATTGGGTATTAATGTTAAAACTCTTACTGGCATACAGTAGCTACTAAAGTCTTTGGGTTAGATTGCATCGTACCTGCAATTGCCAAACACCCAGCTGGCACCTCTATTTGACCTGCTCAAACATTCTGACACTTTTCAAGAGCAACAGTTGCAGGAGTGAGTAGTCTTACTCTGGCAAAAGATCCCCAAGAGTTAGATTTAATGAGATCACTGTCTGTACGTAACACAAGTGATAATGGAACTCAAATCTGTTTAATGTTGGGATTATTTCAATCTAGATTAAGTCTTTATCAAAGCCAAAACTTGTCCAGCTGGCACAAACTGCCTAGCCTGTACACAAAAGAACTGTAGAGCCTGAGTGAAACAGTAGAACACACAAAGAAAGTAACAGTAACAACTAGTCCTATAGACTCGTAGCTTCAATCTCTTTTTAGTTCTATGTCTGAATGAGTTTTAAGTTTTGTTAAAGAAAAACCTACGATAGTTGTTGACAATTGTTGTAATTTTAGTAATAGTTCGTATTGCTTTTTCTTGTATTGTTAAAAGTGTAAGTGCTATAACAGAGAAAACATTGTTGGCCCAGAATAAAAAACCGGGGGTATTTGTAGGGAATTGGCTATAGAACAGGGCTTGCCTAGGCCCTGAGAAAATCTGAGATAGCAGAGCTACAGTGTCTTTGTGCCTGCTAGTTGGCTGGTAAACAGGTCGTTGTGATTAGCAAAACAAAAAGCAACTGAAAGCCACCTGTGTCAACAAAGGAAGGGAGTGAGAGACAGAATTAACATCTAAGTGTCAACAAAGGAAGGGATTAAGAGGTGAGATCAACATTTAAGCAGAACCAATAATGAGCTTAACCTTTGCAATATGTATGAGCTAATTATAAAGCATATATTAAGCTGTTAACAATGATCAATAAACGAAGCTTGCTGATTCTCATATTGAGGGTCCCTTTCTTCCCTCCTCATGACCAAGGTGACTGGTGTGACAGGGGTTAAATTGGGAAAACATTGGGGAATTCCTCAGTTTCCCTATTTGCCAAACTCAGGCAAACCTGTGCTAGGAAGAGATGGACTGGAGTCTCTGATCTCCTGAGTAGTTGTTCTGCATGATCTGGGAGCCTCTGGGATTAGACTGGACTGGGCAGACAGGGAGCAGTTTGTCCTGTGGAGTTGGGCTGGGTTTGTTGAGGATGCCTTGGGAGGCAGGGCTGGAGAGGCTCCTCTGTTGGCTGTAGTGGTGGAAGGTTGTAGCCGGAGGGCTGGAGCCTTCGACCTCCTGCTCCCCCCGTGAGCCCCGCCGGGACCGTGCCCTTGGCAATGGAGGGCCCCCCATTGCTGAGCCAGCGGTTCCGGGGGCCAGGAGGGATGGGATCAGGATGCCGAGCTCCACCCAGGGCCAGGGCTGCCAATGTTGTAACCGTGGAAAGAACTGAAAGCAGAGGGAGATGGAGGCCAAGCTCCAGCACAAGGATGGGTGAGAAAAGACCGTGGTCCTCAGGTGGAGCTTTGAATTCCCTGGAAAAATGGATCCTGTCAGACGGTTCAGGCCCTCGTGGGTGCTGGAGCAGAGGCCTCTAATTTATGGTCACCCTAAAAAGTTGCCAGGGCAGCAAGTTTTGACTGCAGGATGAGGTGGGAAACCAAGTGAAGTGGTCCAGAGAAAAGCTGAGCTTAAAATTGAGGAAGCCTCAAAAATGCACCAGTTCTCAGGAAGCACAACTTTGTAAAACATTGATGAAGCCAAAATTCCCCAGCATTGAACTGTTGGGTCCCAAATGAGATTGGAGGGAGAGGCAGAAAATGCCACTGCTGCTGGGGCTGAACTGTGCCGTGAGTGGGCAGGACTTGGCCCTGATGCCTGAGTGCATCTTTAGGATGGATGCCAACTGTCAGCCCCTGGCTCCATAACTTGAGTAGAGGGTGTTCCTGCAAGCCCAGCTGCTGTGTTGGTGGTGCTGTGGGCACCTCTGGCCCTGGCGTGCTGTGACTGTGTTTGTGTTGCAGCTCAATAAAGTCCCTTTCGGTGGTGATTGTGTCATTTTGGTGTCAGTTGCTCTCAGTTCCTGTCCCCTCTTCCCCTGCCCCAGTGGTTGCATCACTGCCTTGTGCCTAAATGAACTCTTCCCCTGCAGCAGTTCCCTGCTGCTCTCAGAGAGGGTGGAGTTGAGGCCCCTGAGCAAAGGGCAAAAGGATCCATCCAAGGCAGGCCCGTGCTCACCCCCTGCGTTCCTCCAGCCTCCCGTGTTTCCAGTTCCCCTCCCTGCTGGACACACAGCCTGTTCCCAAACAACACCTGTTCCCAAACAACCCCCGTTCCTGTTCTCTCTCTGTGTCTCCCCTCACAACTCCCCTCCTCTAATCTCCAGCTGCCCAGGCCCCTGTTTTTGAGGGGCATTCCTGGGCTGCTGTCCCCCCCATTCTTTATAAATGAAGTGCCAAGAGCCCCAAGTGCAGAGAGGTCTGCAGGGAAGAGGTGCCAAGAGCTGCCTGTGCCTGCCTGTGTTCCTGCAGTTCTCCTTCCTGTTCTCCCTGGGCTGGAGAGACCTGCCTGCCCTGTGTTTATTGGGGCAGAGGGATGGGATTAAATTTGTCCAGAAGGGATGTTCACAGACATATTTTCTGACAGGCAGTGCCATTTTCCTTTTGCCTTTCCCAGGTTTTTCCAAGTGCTGCCCAGCACGGGGATCCGTGTGCTGGGACAGTGATTGGCAGGAGGAAGGGGAGCCTTGGCCTCACCTGCCCAGCTCAGGTGGGTGGCACAGAATGGGGGTGGGCTGGCAGGGCATGAACACATTTCTGAGTTCTGGAGTGCCTTGAATCCTCTCCCTGTCAGGTTTCTCTCCCTGATTTCCTGGGGTCCAGCATCCCAGGTGTCTCTTCCTTTGTCCAAAGTCCAATGGCAGAGGATTGACTGACTCCCAAGGGGGGTTTGAAGTAAAGAAGGTTCTGTTCCAATGGGGCAAGGAATGCAGTGAGAAAGATGAGCCTCCTTTTAGTGCCTGAAGTAGAGAGGAATAAAGATGCTGGAAAAGGCCACATTTCATTTGGTGTCCCCCCTGGATTTTTCATGGCTCAAACTCTCTAGTGAGCAATTGAAGAGAAGGGTGAAGGGCAGGAGCCTTTGACTTGCCCAGTGCACTTAATTGCCTTGTTCTCCTCTCTTCCAGGCCAGGCCAAAGCCCTGATCCAGCCCAGCTCTGCCAAGTGCCCTGGGCTGGGAGCAGCCAAAGGCAAGAGGCTGCAGCCCCGCCGGCCGGGCTGGGGGCTCCTGGTGCTGCCCGTGGGGTGGGGTAAGTCAGAGGGACACCTTTCTCTCCTCCTGCTGTTGGCATTTGCTCCCTGGGCACTGGATGTGTAAGGAAGGAGGGAGTAGCAGGGAAGGGGAGTATTTCCAAACTGTCTGAATGTTGTCCCCGGGTTTGGGATGGAGCAGCCATGGGGGTGGTTGGGTTTGGCCTGGGCCGGTCAGGATCAGCCATAAAGGACCCACCAGACCCCTGAACCCTCACTGGACATGTCCAGCCCCTCAAGTCATTAATTTTCAACAGAGGACAAGCAAGTGTTGGTACTTGCTTCTGATCTGTGGAGAATTTCCTTTGGAATGATCAACCAGGGAATGTATCAGTGCAAAGCATCTTTTGGGGTCTTTTGTTTGTTTATTTGTTTGTTTGTAATTTCCTCTCTGGCTTCAATGAGTTTGGTGTGCTCCTGTTAAGGAAGCGGCATATTTTTATTTGGAAATTTGGGGTGGTTTGGTTGGTTTAGGGTGTTTTTTCCCCCACTGACTCGGGCCTTCCGTGCATAGTCCGTGTTGTCCTACAGGACTGTTCTGGATCTGGGTCAGAGAGAGAGAAGGGAAGTGGCTTTTCCTCATCTGGAATGTTTCCAAGCAGAAGTGGGGCATCGTCCTGCCCCTCCCCAAAGCACTGCAGGCACCTGGGAGTAGCTCAGGGCTGGCCCAGTTCTCTGAGGCAGAACCACGGGGGAGAGGTTTAAGTATTAATCACATCTCTGGTGTCCCTTTGTTGCAAAGATTGGGTCCTACAGTCCCAGGGTGTTAAGGAAAACAAGGAACTCCTGTTCTTCATGGCAAACCTTCTGTTATTGCTTGTACAGTGTTTGGGTTCTGTTGTCTGAGTTCCTGTCCAGGATCTTTCAAAGAGAACCTGTTAGAAATGTAGAGGTGGGGTTAGAATTTGGGTGTGTTCCCTACCAAACTGATGGACTGGAGTGATGAGTGCTCTCAGCCCAGGGTATTTCTTAATGTTGTGGCTTTCCCTCAGCTGTGGGTGAGGAATTGTGCAAGCAAGGCCTGTGTGCCCGTGGGTGTCTCCCGTGTGTGTCCGTGGGGCAGGGCTGGGACAAGGACTCGTGCAGGGACCCAGCTGGCACTGGAGCTGCTGCCATCCTGAGCCACTGCCAAGGGGTGGGGAGAGACCATCTGGGAGGCTGTTGCCAGGGTTCCATTGGGAGCTGGATCTCCCTCCAGCTGCAGCAGCCAGGGGAGGGTTCTTCCTTGTGCAGCCCAGTGGCTTCTGCTCAGGCTGGCCCAGAGTGGGGCTGGGGCAGGTTCTCCAGGGAACTGGAGCCAGCCCTGAACGGGGCTCTGGAGAGCAGGAGCTGCAGGGACTGAGGTTTGCAAAGCTGGGCTGCAGTTTGTCAAAGCAGCAGAAGATTGTCATTCCTGTGGGTTTGTGGAGTCCGTGTTGGTGCCCAGGAGAACTGGGTCAGACTGGGCTTTGTGGTCCGAGAGCTGCCCCCCTAAATGTGGCAGGCTGTGTGTGCTGGCAAGGAAGTGCTGTCCCCAGAGGCTGATGGTTTCTGTCTCCAGGGATGCCCAGGACGCTGCTAATCCCCAGGGATGTGCTCTGGGTCCAGGCTGTCCGTGCTGGAGGGCCCTGGTGGCTGCAGTCCCTGAGCCCACAGAGACAGAGAGAGCCCCGGCCCGAGTGGCCTTTGGCCCCTTGTCCTGAATTTGGGGTGAGCCTGGGAGCGTGTGGAGGGTGAGAATGAGGGCTGTGTTTCCAATACATCATCCCTGGGAAGATCCTGTTGTTCCAGAGCGCTGGGGACAGTTTGGGCTTGGCAGCTTCAGAGCTGGATTGGAGCAGTCCCTGAAAAGAATCAGGAGAGTGGAGTTTTGTCCCAGTGCTGCTTTCACGCCCCACTGGACAGTCTGGGCTTTGTGTTTGAGGTCGTCCTGTGTTTGCTCTGCAGATAATGGGCCCTTCCCAATTCAGCCCAGCAGATCCCAAGGGCTTTGACAGGAATATTTGTTCTTTCCTTCCCTTTGGGATAACTTCATCTCCAAACTGCCATGAGCAATTCCTTAATTTCTGCCAGAGAAAACCAAGTGTCAGAGGCAGTTTGCCAAGGAGCCCAGAAGTGTCTTTGGAGCAGAGAGTGCTGTCTTTGGGCACTGACCATTAGAGGGAACAAAACCACTGCCTGCCAGAGGGTTTGTCCTGGGCCAGTCAGGCCTTGGGCAGGAATTGGACTGGGCAACTCCATCAGCTGCTCTTCCCTCCCCCACAAAGCCCCATCCCCTGGGCATTAATGACGTGCCCTGTGCCCAGCGCTCCCTGTTCACCCAACTGAAACCAGAGCAAGGCTTGCTTTGCTTTGAATGACTTAAAATAACTTTAAAACAAAATAAATCACTTTTGTCTTCTTTTTTTTCTTTTAGATGCTGGAATTGGCTCTCTGGGTGTGTGCTGAGCTCTGGCTGCAGGGGACTGTCAGGCCTTGGTGGCTGTGAGTTCCTGTTCTTCTCCCTGGGAAACTGGAAAGAGTTCTTCATTAGATTGCAGAAATGTTTTCTGAAACCTGTCCCCTTCTTTGTGCCTTTTGCTGACAGACCTTCTCTTTCTGCCTTTGCATGTACAGCTGTTCCCTGCTGTCCATTCCCTGGCCTGAATTCCTTGCAGCTCCCAGCTGGGGAAACTTGGGATAACATGGCAGGGACAGAGGTGACATTTGTAGCTGCCAACTTGGGGTAATTTGGAGGGGACCCAGCAACTGTTTGTGTAGGAAAAGGTGAGGTGCTGCAGAGGGGAGGGAGGTGGCATTTTGGAGGGGTCCCACTGAGGGGGGAGTGGAGAGCCTGGGGCTGGAGTGTGAGTTCTTAAACAGGGAACAGGGGAAGGATGCTTGGGAGGGAAACACTCAGGGAATGTGTAGGGATGGAATGGAAATTTGGGGCATCAGGAAGAGAAAATGGGTGATGTAGAGGCAGGGAAATGTTGGGTGTAAAATTTGATCTCATCTGTAGAGGCAGAATGAGCATTTATAGGTACAGTGAGGCAGTCAGTGGTGGGCAGGGAGGGAAAATTCTGTTTGTAAACTTTGAGGTCATGTGGAGCAGAGATTGTACCTCCTGCTGGACACTGAGGCAGTCAGGGGTGGGCAGGAACAGAAACATTTGGGGGTAAACCTTGAGGTACCATCCAGGGCAGAGAATGAATATTTTGAGTTCAAACTTTGGGGGTTTTGAACGAGGTTATCTCCAGGGGAGAGAAAGGACATCATGAGGTCAACTGAGGTAATCAGTGGTGGCCAGGCGGGCACATTTAGGGCAGAAATCTTTGAGGCAATCTCCAGGGTCCAGAATGAATCCTGAGAGGTGCAGAGGAGGCAATCAGGAGTGGACACTCCAGCGAGCCCAGGGAAGGTTCTGGGGGTAAAATGTGTGGCAGTGTCTGGCAGAGAGAATGAACATTTTGGGATAAACTAAGGCAGTCATCAGTGGACAGGTAAGACTTGAGAAACTCTCCAGGGTGGAGAATGAATATTTGGAGGTCAAAAGGAGGTAGTCAGTGGTGCGCAGGTAGGGAAAGTTTTGAGAGTAAACTTGAGGTGGTCTGTAGGGTAAAACGTGGACATATTTAGGTATACATGAGGGGATCAGCTGTGGAGAGGTAGGGAAAATTGTGGAGGTCAAATCTGTAGCAATGTGCAGCAGAGAAGGAACATTTTGGAAGAAAGTGAGGAAGTCAGGAGGGGAGAGGCAGAGGAATTTCTGCGGGTGAAACTTGAGCAAATCTGCAGGGCAGAGAATGAATATTTGGAGGTCAAAAAAGAGGTAATCAGGAGTGTGCAGGTAGGGAAGACTCTGGGGGTTAAAAAGGAGGTAATCTCTAGGGGAGGGAATGACTCTTTTGTGTTCAAGAAGAGGTAATCAGGAGTGAGCTGGAAGGGGAAAGTTTGGGGGTTAAAAAGGAGGTTGATTCTCTGCAGGGCAGGGAATGAACCCATTGAGGTAACCTGAGGTGATGAGTGGTGAGAGACACAGAAAAATGTGGGTGTTAAAGTTCAGGGAATGTGCTGGGAAGCTGATCCACTCTGCCCCGTGTCCTGCTCTCAGTTCCTGCCCAGCCAGAGCCATCTGTGCCAAGGGCACGAGCACTCCCAGCCTGGATAGGGAATGGGGGACTGGCTTGTGCACAATTCACCTAGAAAGTCAAACCAGGGGATTGTTGGAGTATCTGGCTCCTTAGGGAACCTGCTGGGAGTAGAGAAGCACAACCCCAAACCTCCAGCTGTGGGTGGAGTTGTGGAACGTAAACCAGCACAAACCACTCCCCCAAAATGAACCGTGGGAGAGCAGGACCAAAGAAGGGTCAGTGTCCCTGTGGAAAGGCAAAAGGAATTGGTTGGGACTTGGATTGTCCCCTTGGGAGATGCTGGTTTACCCTCCTTTAGGATGCCAAGACCTCTCAGTGCAGGGGTTTTGGCCGACACAGCAGCACAAAGATTGTTCTCTTTGTGGGGCCCAGGTTTGGGTTCGGTTCTCAGCTTTGCAGGTTTGGATGAATTCTACTTACAGCCTGCAATTCCATGGGGAATTCCTGCTGGAACAGCCTCCCAGTGCCTCCTGGAGCCCGGATGTTCCCCCGCAGAGCTGCTGCTTTAACGCCAGGTTTGCCAGGAAGCAGCCACGGTTCCAGGTTTACTCAGCGGGATCGGGACAAGGACAGGTTGATATTCCACAGACTTTGCTGTTTATAACCCTCCTCCCCCAACCCCGCTGGTGTCCCTGGGGGAACTTGAGCGAGTTCCTTGGGATTCGGCCGGTTTTCCGCCCCGGGCCGGGCTCCAGGGGATGTGTTGGCCCAGGAGAAGGCGGGGGCCGGACGCGCTCCCGGCCCGGGGCGAGGCAGCCCCTGAGCAGGGGCGAGGACGTCTCTCCGGGCGGGAAGCCGCTGTCCCTTGGGAGCCTCGGGAGCGGCCCCGGGGAGTTCTTTTCCCCGAGGAAAGGGATGCACATCCCTGCCTTCAGAGCACCTCCGGCTGGAAGGGCAAGGATTTGGGGTGGGCGAGACACACGTGGGGAGCGCGGGACAGCTCTGGGAGGTGGGCCCTGGGAATGGCTGCCCGCGCTGCTCTGCAGCCCCGCCGTGCCGACCCTGCCGAGTGCCGGCTGGATTCTTTGGGTCCTTTGGGGCTGTCGCTGGGGTGTGTCCAGGGTGAGGCATCTCAGGATGCCCGTTCAGAGCAGCGCCCGGCTGAGGAGCCGCGGGCAGCCCTTTCCCCGTGCCCACCCCGGTGCCCGTGGCTGGTTCCCCCCCCTCGGATGTGCGTTTGGCGGACGAGCCCTGCTCGGGAGACAAATCCATCTTGTGCCCGATGGAGGCTGCTCCATCCCTGCTGCCAGGAGCTGTGCTGGGAGTCCTGCGGCTGCGGGCGGGATTGCCTGAGCTCCGGACGCTCCGGAGCGCCGGGAGCCCCGGCAGGGCAGTGCAGGGCACAGCTCCTCCATCCCCCGGCAATAGGAAGCCCAAGCAGGGCTGGGTCACTCTCTGTCGCTCCGGCTTCCTCCCGGCCCGCGTTCCCTGCCCAGCTGGGACTGCCCAGGGAGCCCCGAGAACGTTCCTGGCAGAAAGCAGGAGCCGCCGAGGGCTCCGTCCTCGGCCCGAAAAGCGGCCCCGACCTGAGCCCCCACCCCGGCATTTTGGGATCCGAAGGCTCACCTGGAGGAGACGCCCCCCCGCAGGCGGGACCAGGCGGCGACACTCGACCGACGCCTTTGCTTCGGAGCGAAGGATCCCTCCGGACTCGTTTGGCTCCTTTATCTCTGGAAATGAGCTCGGAAGTCACACGAGCACCTTTGCAGCCGTTGGGTGAATCCCGGACACGGCCGGAAAACCTCCCTGAGCAGGGCAGTGATGAATTGGTGCCCGTCCCCAGCCGGGCACAGCCCAGCCGGCCGCGCTCCCTCCGGCCCGTGGCTGGGAAGGGGGGATTTAATGCTGCAGAGATTTAATAAAAGCGGATTTCCTGACTGTATTTGCCTGCGGTCCTTCCCTCCTTTGACTCGCGCGGCAGCGTCCGGTTGGAACGTTTCTTGGTTTCCTCTGCTGTAGCCGTTTCCCTCCCAGGCAGGACCTTCCCCGTCTGCAAATAAAGATGGGGGATTTTTAAAAAGCAGAGGGTTCGCCCCAGGAGGGTGCGAGTTGCCGAGGAAGCGGGGAAGAGGAAGGAGAGCCTCAGGTCTCACCTGGCAGGTGTCAGAGGAGCCGCACCTTCTGGATGGCAGGGCAAAGAACTGCTGGGGGCAATTGCCGAAGTTCCGCAGGCAGAGCCGGGAGCAGCCTGTGCCCGACCCGCGGCACGGTCAGCGCCGGCTCCTGGGGCCGCCTGAGGACAGACACAGGGACGCGGGGACAGACGGGCAGCTCTGCTCGGGGTCCCGGAGCACGGGAGGAACGAGGCAGCGGCTGCCCCCGTTCTTCCCTGCCCCGGCAGGGCCCCGGCTCCCCGTGGCCGGAGCCCCGGCGGGCCCCAGAGCCCTCGTTCCCGGGGGGCCCTGCGGGCGGGAACCTCCTGGGGCCGCGGGGAAGAGGGAGGCGGGCGATGTTCTTCGGGGGGGGGTGCGATGGCCTCGGGGGTGCCCGAGAGGGAGGAGCTCCGATCCCGCGGGGGGTGCGGGCGGCGCTGCGGGCCCGGCGGGATCGGGGGGTCCCGGGGCCGGCCCGGCGTGTCCCCGCGCCCCGGCCGGTCCCGGTCCGGGTTCCGCGTCTGTACGAGGAAAGCGCCGCCGTTCTCCCCCAACCGGGCCCCGGCAGATCCCCGGCCCGAGCGGCCCTGCCGAGCTCGGCCCCAGCGCCCACCCCGCAGCGAGTCCGACGATGCCGATCCCCGTACCGCTGCCAAAGCCCATCGCAGCTCCAAGCCAGCCTCGGTCCTCCGGTGCCGGTGCCGTCCCCGCTCAGCACCTCGAGCTCGGCGCAGCGCCGGCAGCAGCCGCCGGGCCGGGACTCCGGCCCCGAGCGCCGATCGCTCCCGCAGCATCCCGGTACCAGCTTCCTCCACAAACGCGGGGCGACCGCGGCTCTGCCGGCTTTGAACGGCGCGGGCGGGGCGGGGCCGGGGCGGGGCCGGGGCGGAGCGGGGCCCGCACAGGTGTGCGAGGTGAGACCCGTCCAGGTGCGCGGGGCGGGGACGGGCAGGGGGCGGGTCGGGGCGGGGGTATTTAAGCGCCGGAACTCGCCCCCACAGCCATTTGCTCGGGCAGTGCGCGGGGAGGCAGCAGCGCCGCGGGAGCCTCTCGCTGCCGCGGCTTTTTTCTTTGCTTTTGCTTTTCCCTTTTCTTTTACTTTGTTCCCGTTCCTTCGTCCCCTCCCTTCCTCCCCCCCCTACCCCCCACACCCTCCCCCCCCCAAACCCCCCCCCCTCCCTCTCCCCCCTAGCCCCCCCCTCCCTCCCTCCCCAACCCGCTCGTGCCCGGCGCCCCGTCCCTGCCCCGCAGGGGCAGCCCGACCCCCTCCGCCCTCCCTGGCCCCCCAGCCGGCCTGGCCCAGCCGGCCTGGCCCCGCTCCCCCTCCGGCCCCTGCTGCACACCCCGACCCGCCCTGCCCTCCTTCCCGCCCCTCCGCCCTGCCCGTCCCCGCACGCCGCCTCCCCCCGGCCGCTGTCGCTGCCCTCCTGCACAGCCCGGCCCCCCCACCTGTCCCCGGTCCCCCCTGCCTGCCCCTTCTCCCCCCTCGCTGCTCCTCTGCACAGCCCGACCCCCCCCGTCCCTCGCTCCGTCCTTGCTCCCCCCGCCCGTGCCGTCCGTCCCCCTGTCCCCCGGGCCGTGTCCCCGCAGCCGCGGGCTTGGGGGCGCCGGGTTTAATAAAGCCGCGAGGGCCGGAGCCGGCGCCCCCCCTGGATCCCCCTTTCCACGGGGCCGGGCCCGCTCGGCGGGTCCCCCCTGCAGTTCACAAGCACCGCCCGACACCGCCGGGGCTCCGGCCCGTCCCGACATCACACGGGGGGCTCCGCGGGCGGGGGGCAAAGGGTGCGGGTTCGCTCTCGGCACTAGAGCCGCAGATGTGCAGAGCTCGCGGCGTCCATTGCCGAGAGCGACCCCTTGGGCTGGGGGGGCCGGGGGAGTTGGGGAGGGGCCTCCTCCGGAGGAGGGGGTCCCGGGAGGGGGGGAGGGACTTGGGAGGGGGG